AGAAGTTCATGAAGTTGTATCATCTTCAGGTCTGGTTAATTTGGAGGTGTGACTTTTTTTTTCCCCCCTCTAAAGGATAACTAAAACCCATGGCTGGTGTAATTTTGAAAAGTATTATGCTTCTCTTGGAGTTGTATATCAGTCAGGTCAGGATAGACAGGAGGATCCAATAGGAAGAGACCATTGAATTCATTGGATGGAAGGAAATACAGCTATGACTTTCATGTCTCTCTCTCTCTCTCTCTCTCTCTCTCTCTCTCTCTCTCTCTTACAAACCATGTCACTTCTGAGGGGCTTCGGGAGCCAAGGGTTATGATGGCCATGAGTCTTGGACTCTACTCTGATATGCCAGTGGCTCTTCACTGTCATTTACACTTTCACCCTCTTCTGTGGCTTTAACATTTTTGTCCAGCTCTTATTTTTCAGCTCTCTCTGCTTCTCTCTTGTTAGTTTGCCACTTGTTTATTTTTAGAATCCTCACACTACTTACTCATAGGTATCCCTTAAATACCAAGATTGGCTCAACTCTCTTGAGACGAACACCCACACTTGGGGTGTACAACTGTCCTTTCCTAAAGCATGAATTCCTGTCTCTTAGTGTATGTGATGAAGTCTGTATTAAAACTCCAGCTAAAGAGACCAGTGTTGACCTTGGGGGGGGTGGTAATGTGCAGAGTGGCGTGGATAGCTCAGAGGTTAATATGTGAAGTAGTTTTTACTGTCCCTGTAACTTGGGTATCAAGCAGGCAACCCTGTAAACAATACTGCATCCTTGGAGCTATTTTGGAAACTCTGGAGTGGGGTGGGTTATAGCTGGGTGGTGGAGTCTTGTGCAGTGTGCTCAAGGCCCTGTTTCTAATGCTTCTGAACTGAGGGAGGGGAGAAGACACTTAGCCTTTTGTTTAAAGGAGAGACATGCTTGTTCTTTCCATCAGCCTGTAAGTAGCTGCACTTCCAGACCTAATTGCTTTTACAAAAAAGTACATACTGGAAGAATTGCTACCAGACCTGCCTTATGGGGGTCCTTTTTGGGTTATGAATGGTAGGCTCACCAACAAGCAAGCAGTTGCCCGTAGGAATCAAGCACTTGAGATAAACCACATTTCAATTAGCCTAGCATTTTTTAAAAAAGATTTATTTATTTATTATGTATACTGCTGTCTGCATGTATCCCTGCAGGCCAGAAGAGGGCACCATATCTCTGATTACAGACAGTTGTGAGCCACCATGTGGGTGCTGGGAATTGAACTCATTAACCACTGAGCCTCTCTCCAGTACCTAACCTAGCACCTAACCTAGTTAATGGTCACCTGGTCAATCTGTTTTTCGTTACAGGTGTTTAAACATCTGTTTAAAATTTTACCGGCTAAATTGTTTCAAAGCGTTGTTCTTGAGCCGTGACGGTAGTTGAGTATTGTGCAGGCGCATCTGTGGTGCTCACAGGGAGGCGTTTGCAGGGTCAACAAGCTTCTCAGGGCGTCTTCATGGTGAAGGGCGTGCTCGGTAGAGCTGCCTGGAAAGGGTTGTTTCCTCCCTGCGATTCTGAGCCCTCCCACATCACTCACTCTTCAGTACATGCAAGTAGGTTGGGCTCAGTGACTCCATTGTGAGGATTCTGTGGAGCAGAATTATGATTGCTGGGGGCTGGAAAGAGGGTTATGAGGTTAAGAGCACTGGCTGCTCTTGTAGAGGAGCTGGGTTTGGTTCCCAGCACTGGTGGCTCACAACCATCTGTAACTGCAGTCCCAGGAGATCATACGCCCTCTTCTGGCCTCCCTGGGCACTGCATGGTTGTGGTGCTTAGACAGGTGCAGGCAAAGCACCCATACATACACATAAAATAAAAATAAAATCCCGGGGGCTGGAGAGATGGCTCAGTGGTTAAGAGCACTGATTGCTCTTCCAGAGGTCCTGAGTTCAATTCCCGGTAACCACATGGTGGCTCACAATCACCTTTGAAGAAGATCTGGTACCCTCTGCTGGCATGCAGGCAGAAGACTGTATGAATAATAAAAATAAATAAATAAAATCTTTAAGAAAAATCCCAAAAAGTTTTTAAAATTTATGATTTCCTTCCTAGACTGTTTGAGCTGAGTGTTCAGAGCAAGGCTTGGTGTGGAGAAGAGAGAATAAAGTGGGTTACAGACTTGATTAGCTGACAATGTTCTTTCTGTCTGTATTCTTGTGAATTGATTTCATTCTTGTGCCTCACTTCACTTGGCAGCCACAGCCTGCTTGAAGGTTATACTCCATTGACACCAGAGATTTTTCTGGTCAAGGAAATATGGACCATGGATCCTAGCTAGATTGTCAGGTGTCCTGTCTACCCACTGTGATGAGACTGGCGTGGTCAACCGCTGACCAGTGTGTGGGGAAAGGGAGTTGGCTCCCACAGGGAAGAACAGGGCAGTAGAGTGCCGGTGGAAGTGAGCAGCCACTGTCCCAATGATTTTTTAACAGCCTTTGGACATTTGGGTGAATTGAGTGGTTGGGGTCACTTAAGCCAGGGCTGGCTGGTTGAAGAAGGAAATTTTCATAGTGGCCAGGGAGATGGCTGAATGGGTAAAGGTGCTGGCTTGCCATACACACGCAGGCCTGCAGACACATAAACAATAATATAAATTTTAAAAAGTACTTTAGGGGTTGGAGCGTTTGACTCCTGACACCCCATGTCAGTAGGCTCTCGGCCGCCTGTAACTCCAGTTCCAGGGGATCTAACCCTAAGCCCTGGTTGCACCAGCATACACATAATAGATAACACCCAGACACATAAATAAAAATAAAACTTATAAAGAACTTTTTAAAGTCGGGAGTGATGGCACACCCCTCCAATCCAAGTGCTCTGGAGGCAGAGGCAGGTGGATCTCTCTGAGTTTGAGGCCAGCCTAGTCTACAGTGAGTTCCAGGACAGCCAGGACTACACAGTGAGACCCTGTCTCAATTCCCTGCCCCTCAAAAGAGGAGGGTTATTAATTATTATGAAGATTGAATATTAACCGATTGTCAAGAAAGAATTCTGACTGGCGTTTTCCTTAATGAAACTGATTAACGTTAAGGAAAAGAACACTGTCCAGTAGCAGGGCTTGGGCCTGGGTGCGTGTTAACTTCTGCAGTGTGTTCAGTGGGAGCCTGTGCTGGATAGTTGTATGTCACCTTGACACAGCTAAAGTCATCCTTGGAGAGGAGCGAGCCTGAGTTAAGGAATTGTTGTAAGACCAGGACATAGGCAAGCCTGTAGGGCATTTTCTTAATTAGTGATCGATGGGGGAGGATCCAGCCCATTGTGGGTGGGGCACCCTGGGCTGGGGGCCTGGGATCTATTGCAAGCAAGTTGAGCAATCCATGAGGAGCAAGCCAGTAAGCAGCACCCCTCCATGGCCTCTGCATTAGCCCCTGCCTCTAGGTTCCTGCCCTGTTTGAGTTCCTGCCCCAACTTCATTCAGTGATGGACTATGATGTGGAAGTGTTGTTTTTGGTCATGGTGTTTCACTGCAGCAATACTAATCTGGACAAAGAGCTATACGTGTACATGTTACAGATGCCCTCTGGTTTCTCAGCCTGTACCATTGCTGCTTGTAGTTTTACAGTGAGTCCTCTTTGTCTTAACTTTTCTGATGTAACTATGAGGTGATGTTTTGCTTTTCTCTTATTTCTGTGGAAGTTGTCAAATTCCTCTGTTAAGGATATCCAAATGCTGGGTATTATTGTCCAAATTGTGGATTCTGTGTCTTTTCAGTTGCCAGCACCAGAGTGTGCTGATTGTTAGATTCCATGGTTGTGATAGAGATTCTACTTTAATTAATAATGGCTCTTAGTGGTGTGTATGCTGCAGGTGCACTTTTGTCGGGAGGTAGGCAGACTGTTGAGTAGCTGTCCTGGGAAAGTATTTTATTTCACAGCATCTTTCTGAAGCCAGTGCTTGGCTCTGCCTGCCGAGCAGGTGTGAAGATGGCCAGTCACATGTTCTCAAAGGCTTTTATATCTTTTTTCTCAGATTTCTTTAAAAGAGATCCTAATTCTGCTGTGTATCTTAGTGGGTCTGCGGGTTTCTATTTGCTCAGTGTCTTGGAAGAAGAGAATTTGAACAGGAGGTTTGCTGTGGCCAGGCTTGAGCTTTTTTTCTCTGGAACTGCGGGCTGCACCTGGTTCTGCCTCCTAGCCAGCAGTTACTCCACACGGATTCTGTATTTGCTTTCAGTTTGACACGGGATGACCGTATTTACCTCCGAGAGGGGTGAGGGAGAGGGAGGTCATTACCAAACCACCTGTTCACTCTGTAAGGCGGTGTCCCCGTGCTGTCTGAAGGGAGGAAGTAGAAGTTGAGCAGCACACAGCAGTGCATTCCCACGACCAACAAGAGGCGACTCCATTGTTGAGGGTGGACTGTGGCCTTCTCTAGAAGGCTCTCAGCCTTGGCAGTTATTAGACTGTCTCTTCCATAGCCAGCATTCCCAGCCAGCTTGGTTTTTAGCTTTTGTTCTTCATTTGTGCTTGGTATGTAGCACCTGAGAGATCTTGATAGAAAAATCTTACTTTATTATATTTCTTGGAAGAGTTTTTGGTGAAGTTTTTGTTGTTGTTGATTTTGAAACAGGATTCTTCTGTGCAGCCCTGGCTGTCCTGGAACTCACTCTGTAGACCAGGCTGGCCTCAAATTCACAGAAATCTGCCTGTCTCTGCCTCTGGAATGCTAGGATTAGAGGCCACACCCAGCTTGTGAATTATATTTTTAAAAGCATGATATATAGAATACCTATATACAACCATTGTTAGCCATCATGGGAATTTAGAAGAGAAGATTGTGTGGTCATCTGCCTTAGCCAGGCTTTTTCCATGGCTGCACTCTGCATTTAACAGAGCCCTTCTTTCCTCTTGTAGTTTGGGAATACCTGCTACTGCAACTCAGTTCTTCAAGCACTTTATTTCTGTCGTCCATTTCGGGAAAAAGTTCTAGCATACAAGAGCCAGCCCAGAAAAAAGGAAAACCTTCTCACGTGCCTGGCAGACCTCTTCCACAGCATTGCCACCCAGAAGAAGAAGGTTGGCGTGATCCCGCCCAAGAAATTCATCACACGGTTGCGAAAAGAAAATGGTAATTCTTCTAGTTCCCGTGTACTATTGCTCATGTGTCCTTGGAAGGTAAGGTAGAGCACGCTGTAACTCAGGTATTTATGAACATGGTCTCTTCATGCCTCACACTGTTAGCTGTTTTATTGGTGACTTCCCTGTTGCTGTGAAAGAGTACTGTGACAGAAGCAAGCTAGGGGAGAAAGAGTTTGTTAGGATTTACAGTTCCAGAGGGGAGTATAGGGAGTGTAGTCCATAGTGTCAGGAAGGCATGGTAGCAGGAGCAGGAGGGGCTGCCTGGCAGAGGTCATATTTTAGCCCTACACAAGAGAGAGAAAGAACAGGAAGTGGGGCCAGGTTGTAAAAGTTGCCATCTTCCCCAGTGTCTGCTGCCTGTAGGAAGGGCTCCACTCACTTCTGTACAGCATCAGCTGTGAGACCCAAGCGTTTAAACATGTAGCCTGTGGGGAAGCAGAGATGTGGGGCTCGGGTCTTCAAGGGGTGTAGCTTAGTAGTGATTGATGGGGGCGTGGCCAGTGTTACTCAGATAAAATCCCATGTGCCAGGGAGTGAGAAACTCTTTCCCCCTTTTGCTCTCTTGATACTTCTGTCAAGAATGAATTTTTTTGCCTTGTATAGTTTGTACCTAGAATCTCAGCGTTCAGGAGGCTGGGACATGGACATAGCTAGTTTGTGGACAGCCTGGACATGAAAGCCGATTCCCAGCTTCCATACCCACAAAGCAAAATAAAACACACATTTTCCATAGAATGTGATTCTTGAGTTGCACATAGCTTTCCTATGTTAATTAATTTATCTTTTAAAACCATCTTAGGTAGAGAGAACATTGCTTTTTAGGGAAAGATTCTGTTTGTATAGCCCACACCTTTTATTCAATAATAATGATTCTATCATTTCTCTCACTTTGGCCACAAAACAAAAATCACAGAAGGTGAGACCATTCCGGTTTAGAATTGGTAAATGTTTATTTATCCTCATCTCTAAAAATAACTACTGAGAAGCCCCACCTCTTTCTTATTTGAGATATTTTCATTTAATTTTACAAGACATAGCCATGAAATGTGCCACAGTTTGCCCAAGGTTAGAGAGTTCCTGGGAAGCTTTGGCTTCCTTGATCCATAAACAAGCACTATCTCGTGATAGGCTGCTCCCCCAGAAGCATGAGTGAGAGCTGGGAACCTGTGGGCTCCAGTCTTCTGTTGGCTCTGGATATTTCAATCCATGTAGACAGGATTGAATTGTTTAGTTGGATCTAGCTATCAAATCTATACCCGAAGAAGTATGATTGAAGAGATCTTTAAGATTGGTGTTGAATATGCTAATGTTCATTGAGTGAACTGAAATGAGCCTAGTAAGTGCTATTTCCTGACATAAGGAGCCCCACCTGAATGGCATTCTTGACTCAGAAGTGTTCATTACCTCACAAATGCAACACATTTGAGTTCTGTGCACAGACCACATCCCCCCCTCCCACCCCCCAGCTGTGTACTTGTTTAGATTCCAGATGTGCGAGGAGTTTTCTGTTTATAAGAAACTCAAGCCAGATACCCAGGACACAGAGGCAGGCAGATCTTTGTGAGTTCGAGGCCATCCTGGTCTACAGAGCGAGTTCAGGACAGCCAGAGCCACATAATCAAACCTTGTCTCAAAAAAGAAAATAGAAATTCAGATCAACCTTTTGGAATGTGGATTAAGCTAATGGGATTTTGGTGTTCTTGTCTGTACGGATGGTCACCATTGGAAATGTGTTGGGTGGGAAGCTTTTGTGCATGGTCATGATCCATCTTTTCTTGGTAACTGCTTTAGAGATGCGCATCGTGCTTCTGTGTTTGCACAGAGCCCATGTTATTTTTCATGTATGGAGTAGTATGCTTTTTATTGGCCTGTTTGTTTTTTTGTTTGTTTTTCGAGACAGGGTTTCCCTGTGGCTTTGGAGGTTGTCCTGGAACTAGCTCTTGTAGACCAGGCTGTCCTGGAACTCACAGAGATCTGCCTGCCTCTGCCTCCCGAGTGCTGGGACTAAAGGTGTGTGCCACCACCGCCCGGCTTCTGTTTATTGGCTTTTAACATAGATTGCCTGTGCTTTTTAAATGCATGATGACTTGTTTTACCTAAATGTTGATTGACTCAGGCTGGACACAGGTCAAACTGAGTGCACATACATGCATGTACGAGCACACGCTCGAGCGTGTGCGCGCGCACACGCACACGCACACACACGCACATGCATACACACATGCACTTAACTTTCCTTGTGCAGTGCTGAATCTTGGATCCAAAGCTTATGCCAGTTGTGGCCCAGGCCCTGAAGTTAGTGTTTTGACCATCCTATGCAATGTTTATTTGCCAAAACCTGAGACAATTTTTTGTAGTGTTTTTTTGAATAACATTTTCTGAAGTTTTTTATATCTAGGTAGAGTAAAGTGATAAAGCAACAGACCTATTAAATGCATGTTTCAATGAGATGGATGCAGAATAACTATTTACAACAAATGTGGCTTCTTGTAAGTTTCTTTTTTTTTTTTTCCCCTCAGCTTCAGAAATAAATTTACTAGGAAAGAGTATTACTTGATACTGGTGGCATCTGTAAATATGCTTTGGAAAACATTAATATTTACCTCAGGCTTTTGGATTCTCCTTTAGATTTGCATGTGGGTACACAGATAAAAGCCAGTTGACTACATTATCCATTGCATGTTTTCCTCTGCTGCTTTATTCAAATCTTTGGAAAACATGTCACTCATCTCAGCATTGGTGGGAGCCCACTGTTGGGCCGTCCTGCCTGACTTAGTCTCCTGGTGCTGTGTTAGAAGCGTCCTGCATTTTCAGTGCATACTCATCCAGATTGTACCATGCCCTCTGCTTTACAATGCTTATTGTTTTGGGTATTTGGGGAAGGAACAGACTTTTTCTATTCATAAGTAAGTCTGGTTTTTTAAGTTTTAACTCCTGATACCTCCCCAAGCATAAGGGCTTCCTGAATGTAGTGTGACTGCCCCAGCTCCACAGTTCTGCGTCTTTGATGAAAGGTTGGACACTAGGTAACTGTTGGCATTGGTTATTGCATACTGATTTCCTATTGTTCACTAGCTCTGTGGAAGTCCTGGGAATCTAGAAGTAAGTCTCCAGGGGTCTGACCTTCCACGGGGGAGGACAGGGGCCAACAACTCTATATCAGTGTTGCTTTACTCAGAAGGGAAAGGAAGCAGAGATGGAACAGAAGCCTGAGTGGCCTTGTAGGTATAGCTGTAGTGTTGGGAAGACCCCTGGTCAAGGCTACTAGAGATTTGTTGAAGCCTAGGGTAAATATGATAGAAGCCGGAAAAAAAAAAAAACAAACTACAGATGCACTGGAGGGTGGCCAGAAAGTTCACTTGGCAAGAGTATGGTACCACGAAGACCATTAGATACAGAACAGGGCTCAAAGCTGGAGAAGCCATCCGAGGTTATGATTTTCATTATCGGAAAGTCCCTATAGGTGGGCATGGACAGCATATGAACAGAGGCGTGAGGGTTGGGAGGAGTCAGAGGCTGCTGCAGTCCTTGAGGAAGCTTATTTGGCTGATGCCACATCCTTTAGGTCGACCATTATTACTGTGGAGCAAATGATAGGTCGACCATTATTACTGTGGAGCAAATGAAGCACAGGTCAGTAGCGATGGGATTGACTGTTACCTCGTGCTTACTGTCAGCTGAACAATTGGTGGGCATTGAGGGGGGCTTGAGGTCTTATTGGTAGCTTCATGCTCTGACTTCACAAACCTTAGTAACATATGCTATGTATAACGTGTGTGTATGTAAAATATATTTTGAGTTGCTATGAGCAACTCATGACTGATTGAACACCTGTCTTTTGTTCATTGTTCATTCATTCATTCAAAACATGTTAAGCACATCCAGGGTGTTGCAGCCAATGTGCTGGCAGTGCAGCTGTGACTGAGCTAAGGGTCTTGATTCTTAAGGAACCTGCATTTCTCAGGTGCTGTGGAGTGATGACAGTCATGTGTGCCTATAAAACAGAAATACATGGAGTTAAGCCTGGTGTGCTTTAAAAGAGCAGATACCAGTTGTGTGCAATGATACCTTTTAGAAAGATCTGAGTGAATGTCTCTTACTTCATCCAGTTCTGTTTCACTCTAAGACCAGCACAGAATGTTTTATGAAAGCTCCAGCTGTTTCAGTATTAGGAAGGAAGAAAACAGCCACTGTAAGCAGTATTATTATTTTGAGTTAATGTTGCAGCTGTTTGGGGGCTTCAGTAGCTTCTTTTCATATATTATTTAATAATGAAAGTGTCTGTCTCTCCCACTAAAAATGTCAGTTCCATGACAGAGGAAACCCATTTGTTTTTCCTCACCATTGTATTCCCAGCATATTATCCAGTTCCTGGCACATAGTAGGTGCTTTACTAAGTATTTGTTGAATAAGTGAATAAATAAATGAACTTGTTTAATTTACTGAAGCTATTTTCAAGTCCATTTTTCCCATTGTAGTATTAGTAGAGTGAGATACCACCGATTAGAAAACCAGTGTTTCAAAATGAAACACGGTGTAGCCCTGTGACCCTCCCTCATATGTTGGTATTTGTGTAATCCTACAGATACCTTTAACACAGTAAGTTGTCTTCTTTCAGGCACTGCAAGATTTTGGCATGTTAGCATAATATTTAGTGAAAACACATTGCTGCAAAAGTTGAGAGGTTGCTCCTCTGCTGTGTGTGGCATTCATAAAGTGCGGCGTCCACCCTTGACCAGCAAGAAAGACGCCACACCGAGGAATCTTCTTCAAACACAGTTTAATCGGGAACCTCTTTGCTTTGTACAATGTATAATGGCGGCGGCGGCGGCGGCGGCGGCGGCCCCGGGCCGAGGGAGACGGGGCTTGATATAGTCTACATCTACCAATCACCTAACCCTACGTGGCGCGCCAGGATAGGTTGTCTCCAAGCAGAATTAAGAGGATACATGACCTTTGCCTTATTTGGAGTTGTTTACCACAGAGAGCGCTCGCCGTCGGGCTGGCGGAAGGCGGAAACTGGCGCCATCTTTTGGGTGCGGTTTTCTGCAGCTCCCTACAATAAAGGTTCAAGATATTTAAGGTATTTCGGTGGATCTGAAGTCACTATTGTGTGGATTACCCCCTTTTCCTCCCACAAAAGATTTTAATTAAAAACTCATTTGCATTTTTTCTTTTTCGATAAACACAGCAGTTATTTTGAAAGAGCATGTATATATGTGAAGGTGGTTTTTAGGGGGAAATTACAATGTGCTAGATGGTGGCATTGATCCGGCATTGTGTTGCCCACTGCAGTGAATTAATCATCCCTAGCTCATAACTAGGTTCCCAGCTATTCTTAGAAACCTTCCTGACTCCCTTCCCTTCCCCTCAGCCCTGCTTTGTTACTCCTCTCCCTTGCATCTCCTCTGAAGCCTAGATTGGCCTTGAACTCTGTAGCTCAGGTTGGCGTCAGACTCAAAATGCTCCAGCCAAGATCACAAGTGTCAGGCACTCAGGCCATTTCTGATTTTCTGAAGTCCTTTTATCAGTTTTCTGTTTGGTTTTTTTTGTTTGTTTGTTTTTCTCTATCTCCAATGATTTTTCAAGACAGGGTTTCTCTGTAGCTTTGGAGCCTGTCATGGAACTCGCTCTGTGGACCAGGCTGGTCTCTAACTCTCAGAGTTCCACCTGCCTCTGCCTCCTGAGTGCTAGGATTAAAGGCATTCGACATCACACCTGGCCTCCTGTTTAAGAACCCAAACCCCACAAGTCCCAAGGCTGCCAGATACCTGAACCCAAACAGTCTTCACACCAACTTGGATCTTTAGCTATATTTGCAAGCTGGGATTTGCTCATCAGAGACAGTAGATCCAAAGCACTGAGATCTGCTTCCCACTGCTGCCCATTCAGGGCACTGCAGACTGCCCCTGCAGACAGTGCTGCTGCCAAACACTCTACAAACCCTCCCACCATGGTCCACCTGAGGTCACAGGAGTCACACTAGAGCTCAGGACAGCTCCAACCCGGCAAGTTCTAAAGGGAAGCTGAGATAATGAGAGTCAGTCATCTTCAACCTTTGCTCTTTGCAGGCAAATCCTCCATCCCGAAAGCACTGATGGCTGGAATCCAGAGGGGATGACATGAAGGGTGGCTCCATGTCATCATTACTGTATTGGTTTGAGAGTGAAATTTGCAGAACAGGTGTAAGTGTTGTGGAAGCAATTCAGGAATGATCCAGACAGGCTTCATGTGAATTTAGCTTGCAGAACAGGATATGCTGGTTAATTCGTAAGTCTGTAAATCAAACTTGAATATTCTCAGTATAAAATTGAGGGAGACTGTGGGCCAAGTAAGGGGAGTCTCCCAACATGTACTTCCTGAGACACCCAACTTAAACTAGATAAGTCATGGTGGAATTGGGAAGACTAAGTAAGGCACAGGAATGATTAGGGAGCCCAGAATGGTGGCTCATACCTAGAATCACAGTACTTGTGAGGCTGAGGCAGGAGGATTGCTCTTCCAGGCTAGCCTGAGTTGCAAAATGAGACCATATCTAAAGAAGGAAAAAAAAAAACAAAAAAACTGAAAGAGCCTGAGAAGTAAGCAGACACGAAGGGTGTGCAGCGTGCAGAGATGAGGAGCAGGGAGGGTGCCTTCTGCACAGATAGCTGCATTTTAGTATTCAGCATATAATCAGTGTGCAAGGTAGTCCAAGAGAATCTACAGGAAGACTGTATGCTCCCTAGAAACAACTGGATGTTTCTGGGTGCACTTAGTGGTATCCAAATAGGAAGCTCAGGTTGGGTTTGATGGTGTCTAATGGGATCCATTATGCTTAGCTTCCTTACTTACTGAGTGTCTTGGAAATGTAGCTACACTGTTCACAAGAACCTGTTTCCCCATGACCATAGCAGAGCCATGCCATGGTTTCAATAAGCCATCCATTCTTTTCATAAACATTTAGAATATTTTTAGATTTCTGCTGTTATAAATGAGTAGCTATGCCTGGGCTTGCTCCATTGTATGGTGTGGATTCATGGCTATTGCAAGAACTGGATTGCATTCTGTTATAACCATCACCCAAACCGTTCTTCAGAACATACCGTGCCATTCCACAACTCCAGTGTTAGAGAGTGCCTCTCTCCAGTCAAGCCAACCATGTCATTTTTTTATTTTACCAAAGTGATGGGCAAAATTGTGATTTCTATGGCTTTAATTTTTGTCTGCCTGTTACTTGTTGAGTATTGTTTGGATTTCTGGGTTTTTAGTCTGCATCACCCGTTCATCTCCTTTGTGTGTTTTCTTCTACCTTTGCAAAGGAGACTTAGAGTTGATTTTACTTTTGTTCGAGGACACTCGGGATATTGATATTGATACTGATTTGCACTCCTCCTTTGCTGTCCCTTTGTTCCTGTTGTCTGTTCCCTAACATCACCATTGACAGTAACCCTGCTAGCCAGTGCAGTGACCTTTGAGTATTTGCAGTGCTGTGTTCTCAGCACTCAGAATCTTCATGCAGCCTCATGAGGTGGGTGCCCTAGCACCCCTGGTGTTAAGTGGAGACCATGGCTTAGAGGTGAAGGATGGTGCCATCAGTGTTCACACATTTGGAGGCAGCGCCATGGTGCTGTCAGATAGTAAAGGCCTTGGCTTTGAGAATGATCCCGAATGCATGACCACATTCATCTGTAGCTCTCCAGAGACATCATTTCGATTGTTTCTGTCTTTAGACATTTTCCCCCAAATATGTATTGTCTCTCCTTTGTGTGTTTGCATGTGCGTGCGTGCGTGCGTGCGTACTGAGGTGCTAGGAATTGACCTAGGGTCTCATGGTGCTTTACCATTGAGCTATATTCCCAGCCCTGTATTTACTTTAAAAGAAACAATTGTGGTCTGTCTTTCTTTTTTTTTTTTTTTTTTTTTTTTTGGTTTTTCAAGACAGGGTTTCTCTGTGTAGCTTGGGAGCCTACTTGCTCTGGAGACCAAGCTGGCCTCGAACTCACAGAGATCCGCCTTCCTCTGCCTCCTGTGTGCAGGGATTAAAGGTGTGCGCCACCACCACCCGGCAGTTGTGGTCTTTCTTAATGCTCATTAGATGTAAAAATAAAGTTCTCTAAGTAGAGTTCTTGGGGGGGGGGGTGCTCTCTCTTTTTCCTGACAGGAAGACTTTATTTTCTCCAGTCCTTGTCAGATAAGGTCTCCAGGCAAAGCAAGGCCAGAGCCTATTGACCTCAAAGAACTGTTGTGCACTCAGGATCCAAGGAGCAGGTGCCAAGCCCAGCCTTGATGTTAACACTGCCAGTGTTAACTTGTGGCTGCAGGGCATTCATGGAGCTCCAGCATCTCTCAGAGTGGACATTAGTGATCATGTGGCCTACATGATCCTGATGCTACATCCAAACCTGACTTCATGCAGTCACTTACACACAGGAGTTTTGCAAAGCTCAACCCTCTCCTATTGAATCAGACTCTCGAGGCCTGGTAACTCCCTTTAATAGACTGGGCTCTTAGCATAGGCTCGGCCTCCTTAGTAAGGGTTCTGGGCTTCTGCTGACTAGTTTAGTTTGCCTTGGTGAAGTGTTTGTGGAAGAACACAGAGGGTGACGATCAGGGGCTTCTTGTCTTCCCCTCCTCATGGATCTGTTAGTGCTGCTTTTTAAAAGCCATCATTCACCGGGTGGTGGTGTACACCTTTAATCCCAGCACTCGGGAGGCAGAGGCAGGTGGATCTCTGTGTGAGTTCTAGACCAGCCTGGTCTACAGAGCGAGTTCTAAGACAGCCAGGACTGTCACAAAGAGAAACCTTGTCTCAAAAAAAAAAAAAGCCTTCATTCATCTTTATTTTTCTTGAATTCTGTGGTAAGTTTTAGATGTGGAAGTTCTCTATTTTCTTGTATAGTATAAATAATTAACGTGTACTTCTAGTTCTGATAAAATACCAGATACACTCACTTTCCTGTTTTTATTTTTAGAGCTGTTTGACAACTACATGCAACAAGATGCCCATGAATTCTTAAATTATCTGCTTAATACAATTGCTGATATTCTGCAAGAAGAAAGAAAGCAGGAAAAGCAAAATGGCCGCTTACGGAATGGTGATGTGGACACTGAGGATAATAACAGCACACCAGACCCGACATGGGTCCATGAGATTTTTCAGGGAACATTAACTAATGAAACCAGGTGTCTTACTTGTGAAACTGTAAGTCCATCACAACACTTGGTGTGGAAAACTTTATGATGTTAAAGTTTTTCTTGGAGAACAAGGGTGTGGGAGATGGACTTGAAATTGGAAATCTCTGAGGACACCCGAGTATTGGGTCCTTGTTGGTCTAAAGGCAGCGGCCCATGCTTTACAATAGCTGTACAGGTGGGAGTGTGTGATAATGCAAGAGTGCTCGATGCAGTTTGAACTTCTTGATTTTGTTTTTTTAAAAGAGGCCTTAAAGTCATGTCATTGAAACTTTCCGTAAGGTAAGATTATAGGGGTAAGGGTCATGGGCCCATCATCAAGAGTCTTAACCACAGGAACAGGTTCCGAGCCAAGCATGGTTTGATGATTTCATCACTGTGGGACATTTGGGGGTATACCTAGACAAACCGTACACACTTAGACACTCTGTCGGTCCCTCCATGTTGAGTCTGAATAGTATCAAAAGACATGCTCCACAGGAGTGTGACAGCTGCCACATAGCAACCTTCTCTAGGGAATATGTGCTAGAGAGCAGTAAAGGAGTGTAAAAGGAAGTCAAAAGCCAGAGCCTGCAGTGGGGCGAACACGGAAAGCTGGCATTCGTTTAACCGAGCTGTGCCATGCTTCTGTGTGACAAGCAACACAGTAAGCTTACTGAGGCATCATCTCAGTGCCTTGTGCATGGTGCACAATGATGAGATGGCTATAGTGTCACTGGGTGGTGGGGACTTCTCAGTCCCCTAATACTCTTACAGGGTCACAGTGTGGCACGTGACCGAGTGGACACAGTGTCTGTTGTTGGAATAGAACAGTACTGTGTGCCCTCAAGGAGGTCAGTACCCTTTGAGTGGACACTTGGTAAAGATGAAGCTTCGAATTGGTTGCCAAGAATGAGATAGCCCTGTACTAGGAAATAAATATATTCCTTTTCCTGAGTAACTTAGTGGTGGATCTTATCTGGGTCAGGGAAGAGGTGGATTTGGCATCAGTCTGAAGCTGCTCCGCCACTACAGAAGACCAGCTGTGGTGTGAGCCCTTTTTCATTGCCTGAAGCAACAGTTCCTTGCAGGACAATGTTTAGATTGCTGGTTTATTACAGTGGTATTACTATTCCCATTGGAATAGTAGATATGGTCAGGGAATTGGACAGGGTTTTTTATGTTTATTATTATAGACTTTGATCTGACATCATTATATATGATTCAGTCTTCAATGAAACAAAATAGTTACTTGTTGAGAAGTGTAGTAATAGGTGAGATTTATATGGTAGATTTGGGACCTCCAGAGGCCTCTGGGAGACTTGTGGAGTGCTCTGCCAGGACTTTGAAGTCAGGTTTGTATTGGATGGGGGAGGATAGAGAAGAAACAGTTGAAGGAGGTGGTGACATCAGCCATTCTGTTCAAAGTGTTTGAATGTTTATTCATGTTATTAACTCTTAAGGGGTGGGCTCTGTTTTTCTACTAGTAAGTTCTTCTGTGGCCTGCAGTATGTATTGCAGAGAACTTCCTTAAACTAAGCCAGCAGTATGCATATTCACAAGTAATCATGTTCCTGCCGTTATAAGCTAGCGGGGTGAAATCTGGGCTCTTTCCAGAGTGTGTAAATGTACATCACTTCTTTCTTTGGTCTCACCCACATTTAAGAAGCAGCCCTGCCAGAAAGAAGGGGAGAGGAGAATGGTAGATGGTTGTTAGGCTGGGAGTCTGACCCCCAAGATGCCTAGCAGGAACAAAGACCGCCCAACAGTGTCCAGACAGGGTTAGAGCAGAGGCAGGGATGGCCTGCATAGATCCTATCAGGAGTAAGTGTGCAGTGAGTGCAGTGGGAGTGTCGAGGGGGAACCAGCTGCCCGCAGGAGCTAACTGGGGCAGGCTGCAGCTCTGCCCTGCTCTATGAAGGTTACTCTAACCTGAATTCCTTGCCTTGCCTTTCTACATTTTTCTCCTTAAATGTGGGTGCTCTGTGAATTTCATTGTATGTCGGTTGTCATTCTGCATCAGGGACATGGTGTTCCATGTTCATTATCACACGTCCCAGTGAGTCCCATCCGGATGGATCTTCTGACATGAGGATCTAGTTCACTGCACTGGGCATGTTCAGAAGTGAAATGCTGCCTCACCGGTGACAGCCTGTGCTTCTCAGAACCACAGTGTGATACCGTGTACTTCACACATCACCGCCCCAGGAAGCTGTGAAACTCTTCTTCCTGGCCTCAGCCAGTCAGATGCTTAGGGGACTTTGATGTCTTCCCATACAGGAGATGTGACAGGTGGACACTGGTTCGCTGCCTTTTAGGTACTCCAGACCAAGTAGTTGTCTTTTGAGCGTAAGGAGGAAGAATTGCTTAGTCTGTTGGTAGATTCATTTAACCTATCAGCTGGAAACTGTGGTTCCTGGCAATTGAAATAACTACTGTATTTACAGATAAGCAGCAAAGATGAAGATTTTTTAGACCTTTCTGTTGACGTGGAACAAAACACATCAATTACTCACTGCTTAAGGTTTGTGTAGAAGTATTTCTTTTGCAATTTAATATTTACTTTTGGCATAGAATATTAAGTGAATTTTTCAAGTATACCTAACAAGTTCATTTGCATTTTTCACAGAGGTTTTAGTAACACAGAAACTCTGTGCAGTGAATATAAATACTACTGTGAAGAGTGCCGAAGCAAACAGGAAGCACACAAACGGTAATTTAGTGTCTTCTAAGTTAGATTGTATTATTGTGTGTACGCATGTGTGTGCAATAGCACCATGGTTAGATTGTATTATTACTGTGAGTGTGTGTGATGGCACCATGGTTAGATTGTATTATTACTGTGAGTGTGTGCAATGGCACCATGGTTAGATTGTATTACTATTGTGTGTGTGTGATGGCACCATGGTTAGATTGTATTATTATTGTGAGTGTGTGCAATGGCACTATGCACAGAGATCAGAACACTGCATTCAGGAGTCTGTTACCATCTAGGGATTGGACTTAGGTTTCAGGCTTGCATGGCAAGCTGTTTTACCCACTGAACTATTTTGCCAGTCTCTTTTGAAATTATTTGAATGATTCTTTGGCCATAGATGTTGAGGGTAGTCTTTTCTATCTGAAAGTGATCTGCAGAAGTGTATGTATGTACATTGAATGCTCATTCTTAGGGGTGTGTATGTGTGTGCAGAGGCAGAAGAGGACATTGAACATTGGGTTTTCTGTTCCATTGCTCTCTGCCTTATTTTCCCTCTGACAGGGTCTGTTACTGAACCCGAGCTCAGTTTTGTGGATAGCCATCCAGCCAGCAAGCTCACGTGATACTTCTGTCTCTGTGCTTACCTCCCCCCCCCCCGTGTGTGTGTGTGTGTGTGTGTGTGTGTGTGTGTGTGTGTGTGTGTGTGTGTTGCAGGGTCTCGCTATGTAGTCCGGACTGCCTTAGAACTCCCTGTGTAGACCAGGCTGTCTTCAAACTCAGATCTGTCTGCCTCTGCCTTCTGAGTGCTGGGATTACAGCGTACACCACCATACCTTTCTCTGGGTTTTGTTCTTTTTTAAACACATGGATACTAGGGATCCAAACCCAGGTTCTCATGTTTGCATAGCAAGCATTCTTATCTGCTGAGCCATCTCTCCAGTCCCATATTCTTAATGTTAGTGTTAGCAATTAAGGCTCAGTGAGAATTGCTAGATGAGCAATGCCCAGTCTGGAACCATATATCTATGATTCATATCACCAGTTTTTTGGCTTAGATGTCTTAGAAAGGAGTCTTGCAGATATGTATCTTGTTAAGTGTCACATATTTGTAGTATGTCTTGGGTGTTTGAGTGTCCCTGTGCTTATGATTTTCTAGGACTTGGTACCTGGTATATAGTCATGCTCACAGTTAAGATTATCACAGAAAAAGATACAGAGCAAAGGGCAAAGCCAGGCAGGCTTCCAAGAGGCCCTGATCCAGTGAAGTGACACAGGACACCGAATTTCCCCTCTCTTAATGATATCATGGGAAGCTCTTTGCGGGCTCCATGCCCAGGGTTCCTATATGTACTTGTCACATAGGCAAATGCCTGTGCTACCTTGCTCCAAATTCCAGGATCTCAGAAGGGGAGCAGGTATTCAGAATAATACTGATCAAGCAGTTGGGGCCCAGGGGGTTAACTGACATACATGGGATTTGAGGTGCTCCTTAGCTCCCAAGTGCCCAAGTGCCGCTTACTGTACCAGTCCTAGAGCCAGGCTTCTTGGGGGTGGGCTGGCCATTCTGAATCTGCACATATGACACTGCTGTTGCCTCTGCCACTGAACTCTCAGTTAAGATGATTCCTGTAATTCTGCATGTAAACTACACTTTCCCCTGTTGTAATTTTTAAGTACTTAGTGTAGAGATATGCAAAGATTGCAAATACTTCATTCTTCATTAAACTGCCATTTGAAAAACTTCAGGTACACTCAGACATCCCTGTTGGAGTGGGTTATCATTTACTACTGTTCTGTGTCCCTGTAACTACAGTTCAGCTGATGGTGAGGGAGGTCTCTGGTGGCTCTTCTGCCCCACTGTCTCATCACGTTCTGAGCTCAGCTGAATTTCTTGTACTTACCTTGAAACGAGCCATTTCTGTGAAGGGCCCTGGTCCTGTTCAGGGAAAGTGACATTCGAAAGCCAGGGCTCCATGAATGTGTGCCTTGCTGTTCAGATGTCACTATTCCTGAGCCCTTCCTGAACTGAGCAGAGGATGTACTCAAAACTGAATGGGCTTCATTGCGATGTCTCCTTTTTAACTTTTGGAATCCCCTCTCTGATAGTGAAGATTGGCTCTGTCATCTTTGTTTTTTGGTTGGTAGCCATATAAGTAACCAATCTCTTTCCCAGCCTGACCCTCTTCCATTCCTCCTGCTGATGCCCTCAGTCTGCAGCACCTCCCTTCTTTGCTTACACAGACTGCTCTTTTTTTGAGCCCATATAACAGTCCAACTGTATTGCTCATAAAAGGAAGAAAAGTAAGCCAAAAATGGGGCATGGAGCAGTATAGGAGTCAAAGTGAACATGTAAAGTCCCAATGGACAGTTGGATAGAATAAATGGGAGCTTTGCTTTTAAAAGAATTGTTTATTGAGTGAGGATTGTAAGGCAACCTTGGGAGAAATAGCATTGAAGAAGAAAGCAAATACTATATTAGAATGTTTCACAATTAAAAGCCAAATTTAGTCCCAGCTTATTTTATGCCCTTCTGGAGCCTGGTGATTTTTACTGTGGCAAACACTCTGAGTTAGTCTTGAATACTGTTGTGGGAGTTTCCTTGGGGAGATAATCATTTGCTACCCAGCTCAGCTCCTGAAGACTGACCAAGGAAATCCCACCATCTAGCTTGGTGTCGCACTGAGTTTGTTGGCGGTGACTCCATGGGGCATGGCTGATGACTTAGGAAAATTAAGTCCCTGGACCCCCGCTCAGCGCTCAGGCAGTCCACATGAAGTCTTCTCTTTGTCCATGTAATTACAGTTCTTACGGAGAAGGAACTGATAGGATTAATGGTAAGAGATATGGTTAGATTTAAGGTCTACTGCTTGATGGACCCCATATCTGACACTGCCAGTGAAGCCAGGAACCTGAGACCAGGTCATGGGGGAAACCTACTCCTACCACACTGCTAAGTGGGAATAGATAGCACTTCAGATCATTATAGCTAGGCTCAAACACATTTTTACCAACTAGAGTGGCAATTGAAACAACACATTTTTGCCAATGAGAAATAAATAGGCTTACTTATTCCTATAGTGTAAAAATCTGTGCTTTGGAATCCATCGAATTCCTGGGGAGCATTTTCTGTACCCTGCTGCTTGTGGAAATGTCTTCCCAGCACAATGTTGTCAAGATGTCTGGAAAAGTGGTGGTAGTTGAGACAGATCCATAGCCCGATTCATTCACTGTTTGAAGCAGTGGCTGTGTTGTGCGTTGTTCAGCTTTGTTGTGGAAGAGAATTGAGCCCTGTCTGTTGAGAACACCATGCACCGAGTGCACTTTTGCTGAGCGTTGTCTCAGATGCAGTAATTTTGCTGGGGTCCAGAAGTTGCAGTGCCTCACAGTGCAGCGGACGGCCAGTGACGGGCCCTCTTGGACAGTTGGCCTTAGGATGTGTTGTGGAGTTGCTGGAGCTGCTGCTCAAGTCATTGCCAGTGGCCACACTCCACTTGTCCCTCAGGTCACAATCAGATCAAGAAGTGGGTCATTGTTGTTGCATAGAAAAATAGAGGACAAATGACCATTCTGCAGTGGTAAGAGGACTGGCTCTGGTGGCCGCTCTCTGTTGGTCACTGTCAGCTTCTGATGGCTGCCATGGTGCTCTTCATCTTCAGGGCACTCTGCTCCTCTGTGAAGCTTCTTCACCCAGCACTGCACTGTGCGATCTTTAGCAGTTCCTGGGCCAGATGAGCTGCTCCTGTTGCCAGGTGTCTCTGCTGGATTTTGACCTGTTTTGTACTCCAATAAGAAAACATCTCATATTTGCCTTTTGTTTAACAGCAGGGTTTTTTGGTGTTCAAGACAGGGTTTCTCTGTGGCTTTGGAGCTGTCCTGGAACTAGCTCTTGTAGACCAGGCTGGTCTTGAATTCACAGAGATCCACCTACCTCTGCCTCCCGAGTGCTGGGATTAAAGGCGCCCAGCTTATCAGCAGTTCTATAGTATAAAATAAAGTAAATAAGTAAACTATTAGCAAAAAGCATGAAGTGAGAAATGTGCATTGAAATGATGTTAACAGGAGCATATTTATTAGAATGTATTTCAGTATCAAAGTCACATTTCAAGAGGGACAAAAGTGTCATTCCTTTTGCAGCAACTTCATAGTTCATTTAGCTCACAGTGAATGCTTTCTGAAATTCTGTTTTCGTCTTTGTTTTTTAGGATGAAAGTGAAGAAACTACCCATGATTCTGGCTCTACACCTGAAAAGGTTTAAGTATATGGACCAGCTTCATCGATACACAAAACTTTCTTACCGGGTGGTTTTTCCTTTAGAACTTCGTCTGTTTAACACTTCAGGAGATGCAACCAACCCTGACAGGATGTACGACCTTGTGGCTGTTGTGGTTCACTGCGGAAGGTAATCATGACTGAGGCACGGTCATCATAGAGCATGCTGAAAGTGCTCACAGTGGGCAGAGCTCAGGGACCACCTTGAGACTTTCTTCTTTAAGTTTATGCCTGTGTTTTTTCTGCATGTATGTTTGTGTGCCATGTGTGTGCCTGGTGCCCTCAGAGGCCTGAAGAGAGGGCATCAGATCCACGTGAACTAGAATTACAGATGGTTGAGAGCCAACATGTGGGTGCTGGGAACTGAACCTGGGTCCTCTGCAAGAGCAGCCAGTGCTCTAACCACTGAGCAGTCTCTCTAGCCCCTCCCTAACTCTTTTTGACAGAGTCTTTGCTGTGCAACTCAGTGGCCTGAAATCTCAATCCTCCCACGATAGCCTCCTGAGTGCTGGAATTAACAGTCTGTGTAGCACAGCTGACTAGACACCAACATTCTTCATTTTTTTCAAGTTCAGTTTTAAAATTGGTTTCTGAGATAGGTATTTCATCACTCTTCTTTAAAACCTTTATGTGTTTTAAATTTATGCCTTCATTTTTGTTCTTGTTTATCTATTAGTCTAAGGGTCCTATGTCACAGCCTCTAGAACTTGGCAGTCTGTTGATTTTCTTTACCTGTTTGGTTTTGGGGTTGAATAGATTTTGCAGATAAACTGTCCCTGGGTGTGATTAGGTGTGTTTTGTGTCGGTGGCTGAAAGAAGCATTTCAAATAGCTATGGGAATTGGCTTCAAAAGTTCTCATTTTACCTCCATTATCATTTCCAACAGTTATCATTTCCAACCAGGCAGATTCGTCCTCAGCCCACTCTAACCCTCCTTTCCAACACAGTGTGTGTGCTTGCTGGGTACATACACTTGGATCCCTTTCTTGCAGGGGTGTTGTGATTTGGGGTCTGGACCTAGAGTCTTACCCATGCCAAGTAAATGCTGTGCCACTGAGCTGCATGCCTGGATCTTTAAGAGTATATACCATTCCTCCAGAGGACAGTAGTTAATCCCAGCACCCATCTCAGGAGGTTCACAGCTGCCTCTAATCAGCTCCAGGGGATCTGAAGCTCTTCTAGCCTATCGAGGAGGGCACCTGCACTCAGGCTCACCAACACACACTCGTGCACACACCAACACACACACACACACACACACGCACGCACGCACGCACACATGCACGCACACACACACACACCAACACACTCTCACACACACAAAACACACACACAGCAACACACACAACACACACACTTCTTTTAAATTTGAAATTTAGGACAAGAAGGTAATATGAATAACATTTTTAAAAGTTAACTCTTCTTTTTTCTTTTGTTTTAGTGGTCCCAATCGAGGCCATTATATTGCAATAGTTAAGAGTCATGATTTTTGGTTGTTGTTTGATGACGACATTGTAGAAGTAAGTAGCTTTTTCGCTTCTTTCGAGTTGTGCATTTTCCTCTTTACTTTTTCCCTTCACAGATTTTCACTCTCATGTGGCTGGTGGTAGGTATTAGTCAGTTGTTCAGAGCTTTAGATTGCATCTGAGCTCTACTTTTTCCCCTGTTGTCCAAGCCTGGTGCTTGAGTAACCAACCAGCCTTATACAGCCCAGAGTAAAGAAGGAAGGCTTTTTGTCCGATTGTGTTCTTTTATAAAAATGTTTCTTTTTCTTTAAAAGTGTTAAGCTATATAGCACAGTGCAAAAGTCTTAAACCAGTTATATTAGTTAGGTTTTATTACTTCGATAAAACATCATGACCAAGGCACCTTATAGGAGTTTTATTGAGCTTATGGTTTCAGATGGTTACAATCCATGACAGTCAGAGTTCACATGGTGATCTGCATGCAGGAGGCAGAGAGAGCACACTGGGAATGGGGAGAGTGTTTTAAAATTGCAAAGCCCATCCCCAGCGACACATCTCCTCTAACAAGGACACACCTCATAATCCTTCCCAAACTGGTCTACCAACTAGAGGCCAATTATTCAAACATATAAGTTCATGGGAACCATTCTCACTCAAGCCACCACACCCTTTATGAGTTTTTCTTTGCAAAGGCATACATACTCAAATGTGTGCTTGCTGCCACCAGCCTTGTGAAGAGTGGTACATTTTCAGCACCCCAGCAGGCTCCCCGTTCCTCTTTGGCCAGCACAGTACTCCTATCTCTGCCCTCCATCCCTTGGCACCTATTGTTTGGATTTTTGCTGTGGTGGTTAATTTCTGCCTGTGCTTCACAGTGAATATGCCTGGCTCTTGTCCTTACTTTGCTGAGAGATTCATCCCCCAAAGTGCCCACCACCCCATGTGGCAGTAGTTCCTGCTTACTGCCTTGTACTTCATGGCCTTTTTGTCAGTTACTGACTGCTATGAACAGAAATGCTTGGGTCCTCCTTGTACTGGACCTTTATTGACAGACACTCTTGTTATTCTTGACTCTGCATTAGTCTAGACTGCTGGAGTTTGGCAGTTCACATCCAAAATAGCTGACAATATGTTTCATATGGTTCAATTGACACTTGGAAGGGGAGGTGCTAGTTAAGGGTGTAGCTGTTGTGTTCAGCTTTAGACATATTGCTGAAGGTGGTCCCAGTGTAGCTGTAACACTTGTCAGCCTGTGGCCTAAGCACTGTTTGCCCCATCCTTAGAGACATTGGATCCTGCTGCTTGTTGTAGTTTACAGCATGGTTGTCAGAGCTGGATGTGCTAATGTTTGTGTTTTTCCTCACAGAAAATAGATGCACAAGCTATTGAAGAATTCTACGGGTTGACATCTGATATCTCCAAGAACTCGGAATCTGGGTACATCCTTTTTTATCAGTCTCGGGACTGAAGGGAGCCAAGGTGGAGGAGAAGCGTCTGCATGCTTCTCTGGTTGTTTTGGAAATGATCCAGCTGATGTTCAAGAAGAGAGAGATGCAGGACGCTCAGGGCAGTAGCACACTTTGCATACAATAAAGCAAAGACTGTGGATTAACACGCCCTTCCCATCACAGTAGTTGAATTTTTTGCTCAGGAATCATGCTGTCTGTGCAGTTCCACACAAGGAAGTGAAATCAGAGATAGCAGCTCCTCTTGTAAAGCAGCTGCCAGCTGCCGACACACATTTTCTGTTAACTGCAGCAATGGTGATTTGAGTTCCTCGGGAGGGCAGTGGAAGACTTAGAATGTGCAAGGGTGATGGAGCACACTGCTGTGCGCACACGAGATGCTTACCTTGTGGATGGGAGCAGTTGAGTGGTCTTTTCAGACATACACAAAGTACCTTTGGGCCCAACACTCGCAGTTGCCTTCCTGACGCACAGAGCTAGCAGACACGGAGCCCAGTGTCAGGAAGTCAAGGATACTCTGCTTCTCTGGAGAAGCGTGTGATAGTGTACAGTGTTTGTACAGGGAGGGAACAGTTGGTCAGCAGTGGCTTCTTGGCTCCCCAAGGGGAAAGCCTAGCTTTGTAATGATCATTTTCCTTATTTATTTCATTAAACTGGTGGAGTCCAAGCATTACTGGAGTGCCAGTGAGTCTGTCAGCAGATCTGAGCATATCTCACTAGTTTGTCAGCAGAAGTAGTCCTGTTTGTTTTTAAGGTGAACTGAAAATTGTAGCTGAAATCACTGAGGTAATCATGAGATGAGGGCAGTGAGTGGGTAGAGACTGTCGGAAGGAGCTACCCATGGCTGAACGTTTGCTCTTTGTCATAGTTTGTCACTTGCTTTTTTAAGCTTTAATTTCAGTAAAGTAGAAATCCCCTGTTTCTAGAATGATAAAGGGAACCCCAGTGTTGATACCAGCACGCTGTTGGCCAGTCTCCAAACTGCCCACAGCTGTGTTGTTTTGAGTCCTCTTTTAGCCTTGGGAAGGACTGTTAGATCCATTGGAGCCCCAGCAGCCAGGGAGCAGCTAGAGCCCTTTGAAAGGTTACATTTTTGGTGAAATAGACCAGTAATCTAGAAAAGAAGCCCCTCCCCTCCTGACCTGCTTAGCCCCTTAGAACTGTGTTCAGAAGCCTGTGACACAGTCAGGGAGTTTCCATGTACGTCTGAGCATCAAGTGGTATGGCAGTGACTGAATGTAACTTGCAGGAAGCAATGGAAGACTATAGTCAAAGTCACAGCAGCCAAGCTCTGGGTAGTCCATCACGCTGCACTCTTTGTGCAGTGGGGTGGCCTGTTGATGAGCCCCTAATTTTCTAAAGTTTGAGTAAACTGTTGACTGAGAGGCAAACGGCAAAAAGAAACGTTTTGTGCTGCTATTATTACCATATATTTTCTGTACCTTTGAGCTCAGGAAATGACTTTTATCTGTTTGTCCCATAAGCAGATTTGTAACAGGGTCCCTTAGCTAATCGGGCTTCGCAGACAGATGTGCTGGGAGAAAAAGGTGACCTTTTGACAAACTCATTTTCTAGTTTCTGAAGCCTCCCCCTGGCTGGGGTTTGTGATCTGCCAGCATTGCACAGAGAACACAACGAGGAGCATGGCAGAGTCAGAGCCGTGAGAGCACATCATATTGAGGGCTTAAACCAAACCGTGTTGGAATTCAGAACTGTGTTGTTTTGTGGCTTTGTATTCCAAGAAAAGGCATAAAGTATGGCTGAGCCCTCCAGGCTGCCTTGTGCAGCACTGTGTTTTCTTGTACACGGTTCTCTGACTTTAAAGCATACACAGGAAAAAGCCTAGTTAAGTTCCCGATGGCGGCAAGTTCTAGCATGGGTGCTAAGTTCCCAGGCTCCCGGTAGTCAGCCACGCTCTGCTCAGGTCTGCGCTGGACAGTCTGCAGGGAAAGGACTACTGGCTGTTGGCTCTAACTCTACTTTTTATTTTTAGTGCAGATGGACCTAAGTAAACATTTTGAATTCTATCAGAAACTCAATAAACTTTCAAAACATACAGGGTTTGGGTTGGGGACTAGGAATGTCAGGTATAGTAAGTGAAAAGGGTGACCCGCCCAGCACGCATTTTGAGGTGATTGTTCTTTGCCTGTGAGTATGAGGAGGGCAGATGCAAGTTGCGAACAAGGCTAGCCGCCGTGTAATTATGTACATGTTTGCTGGGGCAGCTGTCCCAAGTTTTGTATATTAGGACAGAAGTTTCTATGAATTATCGTAACTAAAAGTCAATATTCTAAGTTAAGCCCCACTTCTGAGGCGTGTGGCTTCTGTCATAGGAATTTTACCTTTAGAAGGTTACTTAAGATAGGAGCCACATGGCTTAGGAGGGGACAAGGAAATGTGCTATAGTGGCCTTACGGCCTCAGCCATTAGGGTAGGGTTTTCTCTCCTTGATGGCCGTAGGAAGACCTCACTTTCACATAGTCCTGATACTTTGTGTAAGGATGCTTTTCATTACAGATTCTCTTCGTGAGGGATGTGGCTGGGAGCTGGGAGGCAAGGTGCTGGAGTCCTAGCTCTCCAGTGAACTTAACTGTGTGACCTCGGGCAAGTCACTTAACCTCTCTGTGCTTCAGTCTCCCTCTTGTAAATGGGAGTAATACCTACCTCACAGGGTTGTTGTGGGGATTAATTGGAGAGAATGTCTGTAAATCGTTTTAAGGTTCTTGAAGAAGGCGCTATATAAATACAAGATAATATCTATTAAAGTTGGCTTATTTGTGCTTGTTGGTTTTTAAGTATATATTTTTTTCTTTTTGCCCAAAATGTATTTGGAATTAGAAGCATACGTTTAGGACTTTTATTAGTCCTTTTATGTGAGTTCCAGCTTTTGTTACCCAGAGTCCCTAGAAAACCACGCGTATAAAACAGTGGTTTGTGGGCTCTTGTTGCGGAAACTCGTCTGCTGTGTGTTCTCCAGCACTGTGACAGACTTCCCGAGTTGAGCATCTCCTAAGGAAGAAAGATTTATATAGGGTCATGGTTCCAGGGGTCTCAGTTCATGGTTGTTGGCTCCATGGGTTGGAGCCTGTGGTGTGGTGACTCAGTAGGCTAGGAGTCTGTGGCAGATGGACTGCCTGGTTCACAGAGCCAGGGCGCAAAGAAAAAAAAGGGATCTGGGTTCGAACCATTTTGAGAGTCACATCTGCCTCTGAAAGGCCACCAAGCCTTCCCCGTGGACCTTCCTGAACTCAGGGTCCAGACCTGCCTTTATGCAATGACGTGCCTTTTGAGACAGATCCCTAGTTTATATTTTCACATTTAGAATCAGGCTGTAAGAGGTAAGTTCCAGAGGTCAGTGTCTGTCTGTCTGTCCCTCCTCCTGGCAGCACAGCCTTTGCTCCTGTAGCATCTGCCCATGTACTCTGGCTCTAGTCCGAGGAACCTTAGGTGTTACTTTTATTGTGGTGTCTGACCATAACAGCAGAGTGATGCTGGCCTCGTAGAGTGGGCTAGGAAGTTGTCCCCTTAGACTTTCTAGACAAGAGTATCAAAAGGGTTTTTCTGTTTGTTTTTAACTGGTTACTGGTACTTACACTTGTAAGTCATCCTTGAGGAATTGGAGAGCATGTATACACAGTCTTTGTCCCTAAACTCACTGAGAAGCTGGGCAGTTGGCATGCGCACGCCTTTAATCCCAGCACTCGGGAGGCAGAGGCAGATAGATCTCTGTGAGTTCAAGGCCAGCCTGGTCTGCAAGAGCTAGTTCTAGGACAGCCTCCAAAGCCACAGAGAAACCCTGTCTTGAAGAAAAAACAAAAACAAACAAAAAAAATGAACTGTCTTAATATAAAGAAAAGAAGCTGTCTTTCTCTGATCAAATGAGCTATTCCTAAATCTGGATAATTGTAGAATGTTCTGGTTCTAAATTCCCAAAGGTTTTCCTTCACTGACAGGAGGTGGAGAGTCCCACCCCCAGAATTCCTTGGAGGTTCTAAGCAGGTTCTGGGCTCTGCATCATGTGTGTGTGAGCCTACTGTCAGTCTAGCACTGACCTGATGGGAGAGTAGCAGATCCTCACAGCATAGACAGAGGAAGCTTCGAGAGTGTAACATGCACAGCACTTGGAAGTTGCCACATGGGTTGTTGTGCCAGAGTTGAGCTGGGACCACACTGGAAAGGGGAGATCATGGTACTGCTGACCTGGGACTGCCTATTCAGCTGTGGGAGGAGCTGACAGTGGGAAATGAAGTGTCAAGCCAACGAACACCATTGGAAGCTCCTTTTTTTGTTGTTTTTTGTTTGTTTTTTTGAGACAGGATTTCTCTGTGTAGCCTTGGCTGTCCTGTCATGGAGCTCACTCTGTAGACCAGGCTGGCCTCCAACTCACAGAGATCCACCTGCCTCTGCCTCATGCCTTTAGAAACTTTCTAAATGGTATTCCTAGAACCAGCTACAATGTTGCATTAGAAGAGTCTCACACTCCTTCCCAGATGTGGCAGCCCACTGGAAGTACCCTAAAGGTTGCAGGTATATGGCCTCACATTTTCTGTTTTTTTGCTCTTCATGCTAGATGAGGGTGGATTGCTACAGTTTACTATTGGAAAGTCACCTCTGGTTCTTTTCTAAGAACAGAGAAGGGTAAGCTGAATACACCAGCCTCGAGGTTTCAAAGAGAGTTGAGCTGATATGGCCTCCTGTTTGAGGAAACAGGCTGGTATAAAATAAAATCAGTGGCATTGGGCATGTCCACTCTATATACAGAACACTTCACTTGGAAGGATGCTTAGGTTTGGGGGATTGAAAAAGCTTTATAGCCTCTATGATGAAAGACATTTAAAAATACCTGCCTGCAACCCTGGCACTCGAAGTAGGTGCAGGAGGATCAGGAGTTCAAAGCCACCTGTTCACAGGGGATTTGAGGCCATTCTGGGCCACATGAGACCCTGTCTCCAAAAGGAAGTGTCAGAAGCATGACCTACTATGTGATAGTGTTATTTGTAATACTCCCCAGTAAAGCCCTGAAAGCACAAACTGGGTCACTTGTAAACAGTATTGAAGAAAAATAAAACACTTTTACTATGTTTCTAAAAACTCATGCTACTCTTGCTGTGTTTGTTCCTTTTCTATTACTGTGAAAACACCCTGGCCAATGCAACTTAAAAATGAAAATTCTGGGGCTGGAGAGATGGCTCAGAGGTTAAGAGCCCTGACTGCTCTACCAGAGGTCCTGAGTTCAATTCCCAGCAACCACATGGTGGCTCACAACCATCCCTTACGAGATCTGGTGCCCTCTTCTGGTGTGCAGATATACATGGAAGCAGAACGTTGTATACATAATAAATAAATAAAATCTTTTAAAAAAATGAAAATTCTGAATTGAGCTTACGGTTTCTAGAGGGTTGGTGTCCTTGAGGGTGGGATAAAGGCACGGTGGTGGAGACACAGTACACTCAACTTGAGGAAACTTGAAACTCAAAAGCCTACCCACCAGCAACACACCCTCTAACTCTTCCCAAGCAGTTCCACCAACTGGGACTGAGTATTCAAACACAGGAGTCTGGGAGCCATTCTCTCAAACCGCCACACCCACCAAAAGAAAATGCTCCTTTAAATACGGTATGAACATTGTGATGTCGATTTGCATGCATTATACACATTCTGTTCTCTGTGCTAAACTGTTAGTTAGAGCTAATTACAAGTTACATTAGTTCAACTTGATGTTATTCCGGTGAGGTGGTTTATGATCTGTGCCAGTGTGGGTGGGTGGAAAGCTGCTCCTGGGCTACAGTCAGGAGCATGGCATGGAGTGGCAGCGATGAGACTCAGAAGATGTGACTGGGATGTAAGACGAGAAGAGCGCCCGGGAAGAGTCCTATTTCTCCGGTTTTTTCCAACGAGGCAATAAAAAGAATGCAGGGAGAGGAGCATGTCTGTGGATGGAATGCCTAGAGTTTGGTTACTGCACATATGTGCTTCCAGTAAATTGACTTTGCCTAACATTTCCAGAGGTCAGGAGTGCTAATGACAGGACAGCGTGTCATTATTGAGACTCTCTGAGTTTGGGCTACACCAGTTAGCCTCTGCACCACATGTTACAAGTGCAAAACCATCCTGTTGAAATTTTAGGCTAGGTGGAGTTGAAACAGGCTGGTATGCTCCATAAAAAGACCGTTTTGGTGCCCACCCTTGCAGAGTGTCGAAAAGACTGCCGATTCTGGTTTGTGTCAAGTTGACAAAACTTAGCTAGTACATCATGGCCTTCCAATAGTCTTGATAAACAGTACATTAAAAAAAAGAAAGAAAGAAAAAGAAAGAAAGGTTTGCAGTTAAACTAGTTTGAAAACTGGCCAATCCCTTTGGACTTAACAGCTCAGCCTGTTTGTGTGGACATTGTAAGACATCGGTTTTTAAGGGGCTGGAGAGATGGCTCAATGGTTAAGAGCACTGACTGCTCTTCCAGAGGATGGAGGTTAATTCCCAGCACCCTACGTGGCAGATCACAACCATCTTTAACTCCAGTTCCAGGAGATCCAATGTCCTCTTACCTGCTTGGGCACCAAGCACATTTCTCATAGTGCACACACACAAATTAAAGCAAACACTAATACACATAATAAAAAAAGATTTCAGTAAATGTATAAAAAGCTCTACTACCATTCATGTTGGACATACATCACACTTTCCCCACCTCCCTCATTTTCTCACTAAGTATGAGCCTCTTTGAAAACTAGAAAGCACAGAGTTGACTGTCATGCTCATTGATAGTGTTAATCCAGAACACCCTGGAAACAGCAGACACTCAAACTTGGAAAGCCAGTGTCAGCATGAATCAGCCATCTGTGTTTCTATGAGGCCTCTTAATTGATCTGTCCTGTAGATGATATGACCATGTCCCCTGCACTGACGATGAATCAGCCTTGACTCCTGAGGGTTAATTCTTTGGTTTGCAGGAGAATATTGTGTTAGTCGGAGTTCTCTAGGGGACATTCATTGTGCAGGATCCTCTGCAAGAGCACTGTTGAGCCCTACTTATTTTTTTAATTATGTGTTTTGGGCATGGGAGTGCCTACAGTGCAAATATCTATATGGGATTTATTAGAATGACGTATAGGCTGTGGTCCAGCTAGTCCAACAATGGCTGTCTACTAACAAAAGGTTCAAGAACCCAGTAGTTTGTTCAGTCCGCAAGGGTGGATGTCTCAGCTGATCTTAAATATAGACTGGAATCATGAAGAAGTAGACTCTAATGCCAATGACGTGTGGCCCAGATTAAAGGTGGATTGTCCTACCTTAAAAGATCCACATTAGAAGTGAGTCTTCCCACTTTAAATGATTTAATTAAGAAAAAAATCCACACACCCCCACCCCCCACCCCCCGAGGTGTGCCTAGCCATTTGGGTTTTAGTTCCCTTTCAGATGTTGTCAAGTTGACAACCAAGGACAGCCATTACAGGTATTTAAGCTATGTGTGGCTTTATTGGCATACTGGGTGGTGCCGTGACTGGCTAACTCAGCCACGCTCTTTGGTTTCCCAGCAGTAGTTACAGAATCCAGAGTTTAACTGTTAGTGACAAGGCTGGAAATAAGATGAAGGAAGTCTCTCCAGAAGTCTTTTTAGGATGCTGATGTTGATTACTTTTACCTAGGAAGTCACTTCTGCAATTAAAGGGACTCTGTCCATTTTGATATTTTATGAGCCTAATTTCCATGACTTGGATGCGATTATTGTCAGATTTGGGCATCTCAGTGAGTCTTCAAATCAGGGTCAGAAGGAGTTTAATAGGGGAGTTACTGT